ACAGACAGACACAAAGGTAGAAAAAGGGTGAGTACTGTGGAACTAGTCGAATATGAAATGCGGTGGGGTCTTGGTAGTTTGAAGTCAGAAGTCAACTGCCGATTAATAGACTTTTTTGCCGTATGAGTATACGTTGCCCAGGGTGCACCACTTGGAGGTAAGTCTATCGCACACCCCATAACAGTATTATAATTTCATGGCTTTGCGGCTTTTAGTAACAAAAATGTCTTCTAATTCTGGTGAATTCAAAATAAGGAAAATCCTAACGGTCGATAAATAATTTTTATCTTTCTATTTACAATGCTTTTAACCAAATTATCAAGCAGCCTAACCCCTGAAATGAGTTTCGAGTTCAAAATAGCCAGTACCGAGCAGGTTTGCTCCTGCTCCGAGCTTGAAAATGATTGGCTGCTTTCTTCCAGCTATCCCATTGGGCAAAAATTATTATATCAACTTATCACGATTATCGCTGCTATAATCTTGCTACAAACATGGTGCGGATGCTTCTCGAAATTAGTCTCCTTTCAATAACATTCTTCCTTTCACTTGAAGCCAACGATCTTGTCTACCAGGCAGATAAATCCTCCAATCCATCATGTTACTTTCAGCTTGAGTGTACAGGAAAGACTGCTCAGGGCGTAGAAAAGGTTCGAGTTCCTATCCGTTCAGCTCAAGGACCTCCTGGGTCTAAGGGCGATAGAGGTCCACGTGGAATTCAGGGTCCTGTGGGACCGCGTGGCAAGTTGAATTTGTTTTAACTAGCACATATATTGTGTAAATTTCAGAATTCAAATCTTAATTGTGAAGTCCATATCTGAAGATGTTAAAAGGCAAATTTAAGCCTTAAATGATGTGAAATTTGACCCATTTTAAAGAAAATGGAGTTTGCCTATCTTTTTGAAAAACATTTTTGCATAAAATCCGTTGATTAAAGTAAAGTTCAATTTCCATAATAAAAATTCCTGTCATTGCAATCACAGAGGGTATTGCGGAATTCAAAGCCATATATTTTGGCAATCATTAAGTTCATGGCTACAAGATAAAATTGGTTGTGAATTATTCGCTTCTAGAAAGTTGATGAACGACACAACTTTTTGTACAAAAGTGCCACAAATAAATATTTACATTGGTCTCAACTTACGAATCACCTTTCATTGATTTCAAGCCTAAGAAATACAATTTATGAACTTATATTGACAAATAATCAGGCAATAGCATTATTTAAGGTAAAGGAGAAAAAGATACATATGTGTACATAATCAAACTCGAAAATGCAATAAAAGTAGTAATTATTTTACTGTTAATTAAATTTAGTTCTGGATACCTTGGCCATTTCGGGGTTGAACTCTAATAACAATAATAAATATGTTAAATTAGTAATAAAAACAGTTAAATATTTAACAATTTTGTGCATATTGTTAAAGTTAGGGCATAATATTTGTCTTTTCCGAAATCACTATCAAGTACTTGCCATCGATATTTCCAAAATTTAAGAATTCAACTCTAGCTGGGAGTTTTACTTGAGTTGAAATAAGTCGAATCAGACACGACACGCAAATGCACAATAAATCTCACAGCGTAGATGATTTTCCTCTTCCTGCCTCAAACCAGAACGATAGTGTTGCTGCTGGCCTGTTGCGCCTCGGATAGGAGGGGGAAGGGGGGGTGGACATTTACCAATCACACACACTCCGTTAATTGCGTGTTGTATCGATGTTTCAGACCTTGTCAACATCGCCTTGACGAGAATGCACATGTCTTTCCAGTTTAATTGAAATTCTGACTACAAATTGAGTCAATCTTGGAATTAAGTGTTAACCTTCCCCCCCCCCTCCCCCAATTTGGAATCAAATTTCGTTTGTTTAATACTGAGGCTGATTTTAACCATAAACATGCACTCCTTCGATTTGTAAGGGGGTATCAATGTTAAGAGTAAGTCAAATCTAGTTCAGTTATTGCTTGGTGGATAAAAGGCATTAGGCATTAGCGTCTGAAAGGGTATAAGTGCAAAATTCCTCCAGGGAAATCTGATTATACGTAAACCATTGCATAAAAAGGTGCTGGCTCATACCTGTAGCATATTGGGAGCCTTGTGAGACCACGTCCGGTCGAATTTATCTATCTTTCATCGTGCCATTTACAAGTAATTATATTGATCAATCAGATATACGTGAGGTTAATCAAATACCAGTCTCCAAGTCTTTGAATGAGTTTATTTTGCAGTCCAACACTGTGAACCCGGCTACCACAATACGTCAAAACCATTATTTTTGTTCCTACCAGCTTAAGATTCTAACACAATCAGCATGAAATGATGTCCCCACTTTGTAATTTATAATATTCAATAATTGAGAGAAAATTGGAATTGGTTCGTAGAAATTGTCAGTGAGCATTGAATGTAAGTTTCCTTTTTGCAAAAATTAGCGTTCATTGTAAAATTATTTATTTATATCAAATGGCAGGCGTCATGATAGTTATCATTAGCCCTTTAGTTGACCCCAGGCTTCACAGAGGGGAAGGAGCGTCAAAGTGAAAAAAGACGAGAGGGGGGCATGGAATAGATGAGTGCTTCAAAGATGAAAAAGAGACAGGCACAAAGATAGAAAAAAGATGAGGTGAGTACTGTGGAAGTAGTCTAATATGGCATACAGTGGGATGATGGTAGTTAGAAACCAGAAGTCAACTGTCAGTTAATAGACTTTTTTGCCGTATGAGAATACGTTGCCCAGGGTGCGCCACGTGGAGGTAAGTCTATCGCACATTGTAAATGTTCCCTAAAATAGTACTAGAAGGACTACCATATTCAAGTATCCTGAAGTCGTAAAGACTTATTTGGGCACATGAGGAAAAATGACTTATTCTTCTTTTTTTCTCACCATTGTAAAGCTC